CTGAAAGATGCGAGCTAGAGGTGCTGCTAGCTGGTCTGCACATCTCAGCAATCTTGGGCTCAACTTGTCTGGGCCCACAGCCTTTTCTTGGTCAAGCGATTTAAGAAGGAAATGCACCTCCTCCTGCCTTATTGTCACCACTGACAGTTTTGACACAGTTCTTGCAGCTAGCCAAGGAGGGTCCCTTGCTGGATCAAGAACCTGCATTTTGGTAGCAAAGTGTTCAGCAAAGAGGTCTGCCTTCTCTTGACTACTAGTAGAGGTGGTCCTATCCTGTCGATTTAGAGGTGGAATGAGTTCATCAGGCAGATAACCTTGTCTGCCCTTGACCAGGGACCACCAGGTTTTGGAGCCTACCTTACCTGATGCTAGCTTTCTTTTTGTGTCCACCTCCCATTTAGCAATGGCCCACTTTTGAACGTCACCCATATGCCTACAGGCTTGCCTGTGCAAGTTCCTGTTATAGGTGGTAGGATGTCTCTTATACTTTCGCCATGCTTTGTACTTAGCAGTAGCAGCCTCTGCTACTGCTAACTACTGCAGACTTCTCGGTTTGTCGCAACTCAGGTTAAGCTTGCTCGCAGATTCCCACACCTTTTTGAATATATTTTCCATAATAGTATACTATTTCAAATTCTATGGTGAACGTGATTCTTCTGTAATTTAAAATTCAAATTTATGCTCTTTAAGGAAAAGAAAAAGTTGAGCAATGTTTAGGAACTAATGAGAACTTCATGGTTATAATAATAACCCCAATTTTTTAAAGGATGGAGGGGTAAGCCGGTGTAAGGTGACCAAAAGCTCCAGCTGCGGGTCATCATATGACTAAGATCTGTTTACCTGGAGTTTACCTGGAGAGAGTTTCGGGGGTCAACGCCCCCGCGGCCCGGTCTGTGACCAGGCCTCCTGGTGGATCAGCGCCTGATCAACCAGGCTGTTGCTGCTGGCTGCACGCAAACCAACGTACGAGCCACAGCCCGGCTGATCAGGAACTGACTTTAGGTGCTTGTCCAGTGCCAGCTTGAAGACTGCCAGGGGTCTGTTGGTAATCCCCCTTATGTGTGCTGGGAGGCAGTTGAACAGTCTCGGGCCCCTGACACTTATTGTATGGTCTCTTAACGTGCTAGTGACACCCCTGCTTTTCATTGGGGGATGGTGCATCGTCTGCCAAGTCTTTTGCTTTCGTAGTGAGTGATTTTCGTGTGCAAGTTCGGTACTAGTCCCTCTAGGATTTTCCAGGTGTATATAATCATATATCTCTCCCTCCTGCGTTCCAGGGAATACAGGTTTAGGAACCTCAAGCGCTCCCAATAATTGAGGTGTTTTATCTCCGTTATGCGCGCCGTGAAAGTTCTCTGTACATTTTCTAGGTCGGCAATTTCACCTGCCTTGAAAGGTGCTGTTAGAGTGCAGCAATATTCCAGCCTAGATAGAACAAGTGACCTGAAGAGTGTCATCATGGGCTTGGCCTCCCTAGTTTTGAAGGTTCTCATTATCCATCCTGTCCTGTTTCCTGACAAACCTTACCAAACCATATCTTTCATTTTTTTTATTTGCTGTTGCATTAATTTCAAAATTCTCTACGATCTTTTAAGAACAAATATTTGTATTTTTTTTTATGAAAATAATTTTATAAAACTGACAAATTAAGGAAGGAACCCCACTGCTGAAAATTCAGTGCTGTATGACCCTTTTGGGTTTAGTACAAAACTACTTAAGACACTAACATCCAGGGTTTGAGGATGATCAGAAGAGGGACTCACTAGTTATTACATGGGAAACAATTAGCTAATAAAATTTTAAAAGTGAAATTTATGCATCTCAAAGTGCAATTAAAACTGTAATTAAATAGAGCCCACCATTGATGAAAGGTTGAAGCCAATCAGGGAAGGCATTCTGCAGCAATTTATCAGAATCCAGCTGTATAGCCCTTGTGGCTTAGCGCTTCTTTTTGATTATAATAATTAATTAATATAAAAATAATTAATAATAATAATAATAATAATATCTGAATCCAAAGACTCTAAGTTCTTTAACTCTCAATAAAAATCAATTATGTACCTATTCAGACTAAACTTATGGGTTATCATTCTTATTATAGAATGCATCGTGTACAATATTTTGAAGCCAATCAGAAGCAGCACTTGCTAGAAATTAATAATTCTTCAATAACATTGTCAGATTAGAACTATGGTATTCAGTAACATTGTGAGCCTTGTATTCAAGAAACTACACCAGTGGTGAAAAATTGAAGCTGATCAGATGAGTGAATTTGATGAAAATTGGAGATTAGTTTCTGTATAATGATTTGTGAATGCCTCTTCTGAGTCCCTTCAAATCTTCGATGGTAATTTTCTCATGCACTATCAACTTATGCAGAACCCTGAATCATTCCAGTCACACGCATTGAGGAGCAGAGGACTGAGATCGTGGAATAATAAAATTTCGTTAGGATTTTTAACCCCGGAGAGTTAGCCACAGTCCTCGTCATCGAGGACTGTCTGTCTGATTTCCACTGGGGTCCTCAATCTTGTCCCCCAGGATGCCACCCACACCAGTCGACTAACACCGAGGTGCCTACTTGCTTGCTAGGTGAAAGGGACAACATATGTATGGAAATACGTCAACTGTTTTCACCCTTGCTGGGAATCGATCCATGGACACCCAGCGTGTGAAGCGAGAACTTTGCCTACCAGGCCACGGCACACCGTACAGGTACACATAAATACAGTTACATAAATTATCATACATAGCAGTATATGTGTAGATTACCCAGGATAACCCAAGAAAGTCAGACAAAGTGACTTATTTCCGTTGAGGTCCTTGAAATATGTTGTAATATTCAGGTTTAGCGCTTCTTTTTTTACTATAATAATATATTTAAACCAAAAAAGTTAAATCAGATAAGTAACGTTGTGCTGCACCTTCCTCGGATTACTGAAGAACAGGGCACTGGGATCCTGGAGTATATATACCTGGAGGGTGTTGCGGAGGTCAACGCCCCCGCGGCACAGTCTGTGACCAGGCCTCCCAGTGGATCAGGGTTTGCATACCAGCGTAAGAACCACAGTCCTGCTGATCAGATACTGACTTTAGGTGGCTGTCCAGCTCCCTCTTGAAGACAGCCAGGGATCTATTGGTAACCCTCCTTATGTATGCTAGGAGGGAGTTGAACAGTCTTGGGCCCCTGACACTTAATGTGTTGTCTCAGTGTACTCGTGGAGCCCCTACTTTTCAATGGGGGAATGTTGCATCTCCTGCAGAGTCTTTTGCTTTTATAGGGAGTGATTTTCGTGTGCAAGTATGGTATTAATCCCTCTAGGATTTTCCTATAGAATATTATCTTGTATCTCTCTCGCCTGCGTTCCAGGGAATACAAATCAAGGGACTTCAACCGTTCCCAGTAGTTTATATGCTTTATCGTACTTATGTGTGCCGTGAAATTTCTTTGTACACTCTCCAGGTCAGCAATTTCGCTTGTGTTGAAGGGGACAGTAAGTGTACAGTAGTACTCCAGCCGCCTAGAGAGAACAAAGGATATGAAGAGTATCATCACTGGGTTGGCATGCCTAGTTTTGAAGGCTCTCATTATCCATCCTATCATATTACTAGACGTGATAGAAACATTGTTGTGGTCTTGGAAAGTGAGATTCCCTGACATTATCTCCCACGTCCTTCCTCGGATCATTGAAGAAAAGGGGACTTAGGATTCAAATTCAAATTCAAATTCAAAGTTTATTCTCTATAAGGATTACAATGCTGAGTTTACAGAAATTTGGTTATTGTTTGGTTTACATGTAGTAAAATTGTGATTACAGAGTGTACCACTAGAACGCTTAGCATGGCTAGGCATTTCGGGCATACTTAGTTTTATTCTTAATTGTAAAATATTACAAATTATGAGGTAAGTTGGTATTATGGCTAAGTGACTAAATACTAGTTTGTGAGTTTAGCAATATGAATGCTTTTGTTTTGGCACAGTACATAGTTTCAGTATTGGAGTATCACAGGATTCATTATTTTAAGACTGAGATTAATATTTCTGTTTATGGTCAAATGAGTGAGTGAGTGTAAGTGTGAACCACCAGGTGGTATTCGTGTAGTTAGTTGACGGGGTGTATCAGGGAGATAAGATGTTTTCTAATGGTAGTTTTGAAGGTGATGAATGTGTCTGCAGTTCTAGAGTTCTCAGGTAGGGTATTCCAGATTTTAGGGCCTTTGACATACATTGAATTTTTGTAAAGGTTTAGTCGGACACGGGGAATGTCGTAGAGATGTTTGTGTCTGGTGTTATGCCTGTGGGTTCTGTCACAACTATCAAGAAAGCGTTTTAGGTCAAGGTTGATATTAGAGTTTAAGGCCCTGTAGATGTAGATTGCACAGTAGTAAGTGTGGATGTACTGAACTGGGAGTAAGTTTAGATCTATGAAGAGTGGGGGGGAGGGTGTTGCCAAGGATGGGATTTAGTGATTATTCTTACTGCAGCTTTTTGTTGGGTTATTATTGGCTTTAGGTGTGTTGCTGCAGTTGATCCCCAAGCACAAATAGCATAGGTGAGGTATGGATAAATGAGTGGTATAGTGTGAGAAGGGCATTTTGGGGCACGTAGTATCGTATCTTGGAGAGGATCCCAACCCCCAACCGTTTTGGATACTTTTTTGGCTTCTGGGATCGCGCAGTGACTGAAGTACGTCTAGTTATTACTAACTAGTATTGGGAAGCATAGTAAGTTTATTTAGGTACAAATACACATAAGTACATTTATCATACATAGTTTAACATACGTGTAAATTACCCAAATCCCCCCAAAATCAGGCGAAGAGTCAGTCTTATTTCTCATAGGTGTCATGCAGCGCCAGGAAGCGAGAGATAATAAAGGTCGATCCGAGGGAAGAAAAGGACAGCTCAAATTCCTTGAATCAAAAGCTCAAAATTCCCCGAGTGCAGAGTCCCTTGCAGTGCATCAGGTGGTGGAGTGCAGAGACAAGAGCAACAAGGCCAGTGCTGTTGTGAACGTGTGTGAGGGAGGGTGCGCATCAGCCGCTCCTCTACCTCCATGTATGCTTCTAGCTAATTTACCTCCCTAAATCACCCTAGAAACTAGACCTCCACACCTGACCTGCAACAATGCCTCCAGCAGGTACGTCAGAGGTTCCTAGACATGTGTACGTGCCTAGAAAGCTCTGCAATATGATTTAAATAGCTGTCAATATGTTTATTGGTTTGTGCGTAGTAGGAGCGACTGATGTTGACACTTGTGGAGAGTCTAGCTCTCAAACTGCTCTTGATCCGAGGAAATGGAGCTACTCTTCCGCTCCGTTCCTCGGATCAAACCTGATTACCTATTCCCAGGTGCTGTGACCTCCCAAAGCGGCTTTTTTTTACATTGCGATAAAATGGGTTTATGAAGTTTTAGACTTAAGTCAGGTCTTATTTAGACTTAATCAGGTGTTATTGTGACTTGGTCAAGTGTTATTTAGACTTAATTGTTATTTAGACGATCAGGTGTTATTGTGACTTGGTCAAGTGTTATTTAGACTTGATCAGGTGTTATTGTGGCTTGATCAAGTGTTATTTAGACTTGATCAAGTGTTATTTAGACTTAATTGTTATTTAGACGATCAGGTGTTATTGTGACTTGGTCAAGTGTTATTTAGACTTGATCAGGTGTTATTGTGGCTTGATCAAGTGTTATTTAGACTTGATCAGGTGTTATTGTGGCTTGATCAAGTGTTATTTAGACTTGGTCAAGTGTTATTTAGACTTGATCAGGTGTTATTGTGACTTGATCAAGTGTTATTTAGACTTGGTCAAGTGTTATTTAGACTTGATCAGGTGTTATTGTGACTTGGTCAAGTGTTATTTAGACTTGATCAGGCGTTATTGTGGCTTGATCAAGTGTTATTTAGACTTGATCAGGTGTTATTGTGGCTTGATCAAGTGTTATTTAGACTTGATCAGGTGTTATTGTGGCTTGATCAAGTGTTATTTAGACTTGATCAGGTGTTATTGTGGCTTGATCAAGTGTTATTTAGACTTGATCAAGTGTTATTGTGGCTTGATCAAGTGTTATTTAGACTTGATCAGGTGTTATTGTGGCTTGATCAAGTGTTATTTAGACTTGATCAGGTGTTATTGTGGCTTGATCAAGTGTTATTTAGACTTGATCAAGTGTTATTGTGGCTTGATCAAGTGTTATTTAGACTTGATCAGGTGTTATTGTGGCTTGATCAAGTGTTATTTAGACTTGATCAAGTGTTATTGTGGCTTGATCAAGTGTTATTTAGACTTGATCAGGTGTTATTGTGGCTTGATCAAGTGTTATTTAGACTTGATCAGGTGTTATTGTGGCTTGATCAAGTGTTATTTAGACTTGATCAAGTGTTATTGTGGCTTGATCAAGTGTTATTTAGACTTGATCAGGTGTTATTGTGGCTTGATCAAGTGTTATTTAGACTTGATCAGGTGTTATTGTGGCTTGATCAAGTGTTATTTAGACTTGATCAGGTGTTATTGTGGCTTGATCAAGTGTTATTTAGACTTGATCAAGTGTTATTTAGACTTGATTAAGTATTATGTAGACTTGATTAATCTTGGTTTAGACAGTCAAATGTTATTTAGACTTGATCTTACTTAATCAAGTCTTGTTTTAAATCTCATCTTTGGTAAAATGTCGGACGAAAAGTCTGGGCTCTGCCACAAGTGTTTCTCATTCCTGACGCTCCTATATTAAACCGGTGAGCTAGCGGAAGGCCTTGGTTATAGAGGGGGTTTTGGGGGTCAATGTCCCCACGGCCCGGTCCATGACCAGGCCTTGGTGTGGATCAGGGCTTGATCAACCAGGCTGTTACTGCTGACCGCACGTAAATCGACGTATGAACCACAGCCCGGCTGGTCGGGTACTGATTTTAGGTAGCTGTTCAGCTTCTTGAAGACAACCAGGGGTCTATTGGTAATCCCCCTTATATATCCTGGGAGGCAGTTGAACAGTCTTGGGCTCCTGACACTTATTGTGTTGTCTCAATGTACTCGTGGAGCCCCTGCTTTTTATTGGGGAGATATTACACCGCCTGCCGAGTCTTTTGCTTTCGTAGGGAGTGATTTTCTTTTGCAGATTTGGGGCTGTTCCCTCTTATGATTTCCCAAGTGTATATTATCACGTATCTTTGTCGGTGCGTTCCAGGGAATACAAATGAAGGGACTTCAGCCGTTCCCAGCAATTTAGGTGCTTTATCGTACTTGTACGTGCCGTGAAAATTCTCTGTATATGAGTCTACTATTTTAGGGTTTAGCGTTTAGTTATATATATATATATATATATATATATATATATATATATATATATATATATATATATATATATATATATATATATATATATAATGAGATATGCATTTAACTATATACACTGAAATTTACACTTCCTTATATATACACAGTAAACTGAGTATATCTGTGTATGTATATACATGTACATTTTAGTGTATGTACACTGCGATATACATTACACTCAGTATCATTCGATATTCCCTCTGAACTCAGGACTGACTCTACTCAATATTCACTATAAAATTCGTATTCATCCTGAATTAAGTATTCACTCTGAACTTACTATTTACTCTGTATGTAGAATTCTCTCTACACTCAGTATTCATCAAGGACCCCAATGTTGAATTTTTTGGGGGGTTACCCTAGGTAATTTACACACACCTTACTGTGTGATAATTGTAATCATTTAAATTTATGTGACTGCTTATGTGTACCTGTACGTAAATAAACTTACTTGCTTACTTCAGCCTTTATCCGGTATTCAGTTTACGCTCGGTATTAATTCTTCACATACTTACCATTTACTTAAGCATTCTTCAGTCTGCTCACACGATGCTTTGTAATACTGTGGTAACTTCTGGTGACGTCAGTCCTCAACCCTACCCGTTGCCACCCCCCTCCCCGTCCCTCTGACAACCCCTCTTCCTTCTGCCCCCTCTTCTCTCCCCTTCCTTCTGCCCCCTCTTCTCTCCCCTTCCTTGTGCCCCTCTTCTCTCCCCTTCCTTGTGCCCCCTCTTCTCTCCCCTTCCTTCTGCCCCCTCTTATCTCCCCTTCCTTCTGTCCCCTCTTCTCTCCCCTTCCTTCTGTCCCCTCTTCTCTCCCCTTCATTCCGCCCTCTCTTTTACCCCTCTCTTCCTTCTGCCTTCTCTTCTAACCCCCTTAGCACTGCCCCCTCTTATCTCCCTTCTGCCCCCCCTTTTCCCTTCTACCCCCCCTTTTCCCTTCTGCCCCCCCTTTTCCCTTCTGCCCCCCCTTTTCCCTTCTGCCCCCCTTTTCCCTTCTGGCCCCTCTTTTTCCTTCTGCCTCATCTTCCCCCAGTCCTCTCTCTTATCTTCCCTCTGCTCCACAAAGCCAGTGGATTAAATTAAACTGATCGAAGTTCTTCAGCTTCGCAGTCGATGGAAAACATTCACCTAGGAACAAAATTGACAGTTTTGTGGAAGGCAAGATACTTTACGGGACACGCTTTTATTGGGACAAAGTTTCGCTTTGTAGAGCTTTATAAAGAGCTTGATAAAGCTGATGATTAAGATGTACTTGCAAGACCTTGGTATCTTTATTTCCGAAACGTTTGACCTACAGAGTAAGCTTCTTCGGTCGAATATTGAGATTACTAAAATTAGGGACAGCAGAATCAGTGGAGAAATAAAGATGATGTGATAGGTAAATCAGCATTGAGGTATTAATTTTCAGGTAGTCAGTCCCTCAGCCATGAAAAGCGTCCAGTGTACGATAAAGTTCTACAGAGCGAAACGTAGTCACAATGTAGGGACGGGGGGTTACAAATCCAATATACGTGTATATCCTTTTAAAGTTAGATACGGATATATTTAGTTATAAGGGTGTATAGATTGAGATTGATCACCAAACCTAGATTAGCCTAGCGCCCGGCACGATTGTATTCATGGGGAAGTGGTAAACCCTTAGGGGTTGTACAGCGCCTGGGGGATGAGAAATAATCAGAATTGATCCTAGGAAGGGAAAGGCAGCTCCAATTTCTTGCATCAAGAGCCCTTCAGCATTAAGCACCACTTTTGAAGGGCATGTTTTCACGTCTTACCAGAGCAGTTTTAGAGGCTGTAGGAAGGTGTCTGACATAAACCATCAGAGCAATGTAAGAGGCTGTGGAAACGCTGACTGTGACACACACTATCAGTTCAATTTTAGAAGCTGTGTGGATGTTCCGTTAATAAACAACCAGAGCATGCTCGTTTTAGGGGCTGTGGAAACGTTGTGAAAAACATTCAGGGCAGTTTTAGAGGTTGTGGGTAACGTCTGTGTGACGTAAACCATATAGGCAGTTTTAGAGGCTGTATGAACGTTCTATTAGAGCCATGCAAACTGTTAGTTTGTTCTTAGTTTCCTTAGGGCGATGTATAGGAAACCTGAGCATTCAGTCAGGCGCATTTCACGGAGATGGGGTGCCTTAATTCCGGTGCAGTGCTTTTAATCTACTTAATTGGAGCTTCCCTCTCCTTTGATTAAATCTGATTACCTCCCATTCTTGAGGTACTATCACCCTTACTGGTTTAGCATTTTTCCATAATAATAAAACCAGAGAAACTGTTTTACTCTCTCCGGGTGGAAACATTTGGGTGTGTTTTCTTAAGACACTTGCTGTCCCTGTTCACCTACCAGTAAATAGGTACCTGGGTGTTAACCGACTGGTGTGGGTCGCATCCTGGGGACAGAACTAACCCAATTTGCCCGAATTGCTCTGCATAACAAGGGGCATTCTGTATAGTATGTATCATGTACTTGCATAAAGATATTATTATTATTATTATTATTATTATTATTATTATTATTATTATTATTATTATTATTATTATTATTATTGTTATTATTATTATTATTAATAATATTATTATTATTATTGTTATTGGTACCCACTGCATCTTAGTTGTTTACTCCACTTTTGAAACAAACTTGGAAACAGGTTTCTAGTTCAAAATATACGTATTTTTTTCCAGTTGGTATTCAAGTTACAGGATGGAGAAATCTAGCAGAGGGAGAAGGAAGAAGAGTAAAACTAAATAATTAATCAGATAAGAGTCAAGTTTATTCTGAATACGAGGTTGCTAGGCACCT